ACCTGGAAGCTGGCAACCCGACTGGAGTGACCCATCTCGCCAGGTTGTTCAGAGAGCAAAACGGAGGAAGGAAAAAACACATATGCCACCAGGGGATGAGGATCCCCAGGTCCCACCAGGAGGTTGGCATCCCTAAAACTGGCAGATGTACCGAGAAGCTTCCTTTTGGGGATGAGGGTTGTGATCCAGTCCTTGAAGTTGGCTGTGTCCAGTGTTCCCTCTAAGTGCTAGCTCGCAGTTTTTTAGCCTCCGGCTCACACATTTTTGCCTCAGCTCAGGAAGGAGGGCTCCAGAGCAAACTCATTGAGGCAGCAGCCAAATCGCCCGCTCGCAGCTTCAATGCCGGTCGCTCGCAAAGTGGAATTTTTGCTCGCAAGACTCCACAGCTTAGAGGGAGCATTGCTTGTATCTCTTGCGCTGACCTTCCTACTGGAAACGGAAGGATTAAAAACCCCTTTGCTGTTGAGTCACAGCTGACTCACAGGGACCCCCACAGGGTTTTCAAGGCAAGAGAAGAGCCAGTGTGGTTTGCCATGGCCTGCCTCTGCGTAGCGACTCTGGAATTTCCTGGGTGGTCTCCCATCCGAGGTCTAACCAGGGCCATCCCTGCTTAGCTTCCAAGCTCTGATGAGGTCAGGCTAGCCTGGGCCACCCAAGTCAGGACAGAAAACAGAGGTGGTTTGCCATGGCCTGCCTCTGCGTAGCAACCCTGGACTTCCTTGGTGGTCTCCAGTCCAAGTACTAACCAGGGCTGACCCTGCTTAGCTTCTGAGATCTGACAAGATCAGGCTAGCCTGGGTTGTCCAGGTCAGAGCCTACAAACAGAGGTGGTTTGCCAGTGCCTGCCTCTGCATAGCAACCCTGGGATTCCTCGGCGGTCTCCCATCCAAGTACAAACTAGGGCCGACCCTGCTTAGCTTCTGAGATCTGATGAGATCAAACCAGCCTACTCTTTTGGTTTCTTTTAATGTTATTATTCTGCATCGCATTTGGAAGCTGCCCTGGAGGCTATTTTGTGTGTGTGTGTGTGTAGAAAGTTATAGGAGAAATACATTTATTCCAGTTTTACAGCTCCAAGGGCAAGATTAAAGAAGGTCAGGTGGGGGGAGGGGAGAAGTCCTTTCCTACGTTTCAGGTCAGGTGCAATTATTGGTGGTGTCAAAAAGGAGACACAGAGGTTCCTTAATGTATGTATATATGTAAATTTATGTAGATATTGAGATTTAATTTAAAAGAGATGCAAGATCTCACTGCAAACCTTGCTGTGTTGCTTCCTGGCCCAGCTTGTTCTTTGGAAACCTAATCCGTATATACCAAAGTACCTCTAACCCAGGGGTGTCGAACTCATTTGTTATGAGGGCCGGATCTGACATAAATGAGAGACCTTGTTGGGCCGGGCCCTGTGTGTCATAAAAGGTAATGCCAGGTAGCGAAGATATAAACTTTATAAAGGACACAAACACAAAGGGCTTTTTTTTTAAACTTAAAATAAAAACATGCTTAAAACATTAGCTCTGTAAGCTGGCAAACCTACTTTTGATTTATTGACATTCACCACGGAAATCTCATGCTCAGAGTTTTGAGTCTAGGACCCAGGTTAAAATATGAAGTGGCTGAGTGAGTAAGAGAGCCTGGCGAAACAAGCTATGATGCAGCAGCAGCAGCAGAAGATGGCCAGTTCCACTATGTGCCTGACGGAAGCCCTCCGGGGGCTTAATCTGGCCCCCGGGCCACATATTTGACACCCATGCTCTAAGCTGTGGTCTCTTGTGAGCACAAATTCTTCTTTGTGAGTGACTGGCATTAAAGTTGTGAGCGAGCGATTTGGCTCCTGCATAAATGAGTTTGCTCTGGAGCCATCCTTCTTGAGCTAAGACAACAATCTGTGAGCTGGAGTCTAAGAAACTATGAGGTAGCTCACACTAACTCAGCTAAGAGGGGACACTTGTAGTTTTGATTTTTTGCTTGATCTTGCTTAGCCCGGGGCCATTCACCTAATTCTTTTTCTCCTCTTTCTTCTCACATCCTGTTGTTGGTTGCTTGGAATGTCCACTCAAGGGAGAAAAAGGCCACAAGGTAGCATGCTCCGGGTTGGGAAATACCTGGAGATCGGATTATTTCCGGGTCAGAATCCGCTAACAATGAAGGTACCACCCAGGACTCGACAGAAAGCTGATATCTGGACAGAATAATCCGAAGATCCCTGCAGACGGGGATCCCAAAATAATAAACGGTGGTCTACAGTCTCTGTGGCATCAGATTCACAGCCACAGAAATGGTCTGAAAATGGGATTTTAGCAGGGGTCATTTCGTAGAAAAAGAGGTGCAGGAGCTCATTAGCATAACTCAGTAGCATAACTTATTTGCATATGCCACACCCCCTGACATAACCGGAAGTGTGTCAGAAGGCAACACCCACTGCTCAGGCTCCACTGGACTGTTTTGGATTGCTAGCTATTGGGGGGGGGGAACGTGCAGATCTGTCCTCGCAGAGGAGGGAGAACTGGTACCTGAATAAAACTTGGTCTTAAAGGTGCCACTGGACTGTTTTGGACTGGGGGGAGCTCTGCAACTTACCTGGCTGCTTCTTGCTCTGACTGAGGGCTGCTGGGAGCAGGGGGTGGGGCTTGTTGCATGTGCCCGCCCCCTGGACTCTTTACTGCCGGAGCGCCGCTCCTGTGCGCTCCTGCAGGAAATGACCCCTGGATTTTAGCAAACCGTCCTCTTGGTTCTGCTGTTGGTAGAACATCCAATCTGGCAAGCATAACCCGGAATTACAACCTCCAGGCGAGGCCTGGTCCTCTCCCTGAATTATAACCAACCTCCAGGCTACGGAGATCAGTTCCCCTGGAGAGAATGGATGCTTTGGAGGGTAGACTGTATGGTATTATACCAAACTGAGGTCCTTTCTTTCAAGCTCCTTTGATCCAGCGATCTTGAGCAGCAAAAAAGGAGTCTTTACTTCTTTACGGAAAATATAGTGGAGAGATACTTGGACACATTCGGCGTAATCCTTGGATCTCTGTCCGCAAACAGATAAGGGACTGTGTTATCTTTTGATAAGGTAGAAGGCAATTTTTTTAAAACAGAGGCCATCTATAATTCATGATACAAATTATAATAAAGGCATTCCAATATCATATGGGGCAAGGGGTCGACCTTTTCCAGGCCACATTGGCAAAGCCTGTCCAAATAAGGTAGATCACAATATCTCCCATATAGGACAGCATTCAAACATGCTCCCTCTAAGCTGTGCAGTCTTGTGAGCAAAAATTCTACTTTGTGAGCTGCTGGCATTAAAGTTTTGAGCGAGCGACTTGGCTACTGCATAAATGAGTTTGCTCTGGAGCCGTCCTTCCTGAGCTAACACAAAAATCTGTGAGCCGGAGGCTAAGAAACTGTGAGCTGGCTCACACTAACTCAGCTTAGAGGGAACACTGTCAGCTGTACCGTAAGGAGAAACTGTTAAATTTTTTACATAGACTGGGGTGGTTAGAGATGGAGAAGTGCCAAAAAAACCCTGGGTAGAACATACTCTCCGTGCTTGTATAACTGAACTAAAGTGCTCTGATCTTTTATACATTTCTTTTTTTCCTGATCTTTTATACATTTCTTAGTTGTTAGTAAAGATTTGCTTTCCCCGAGTCTCAATATATCATCTTTTGCTAGGTTACAAACTGAGGTCCCTTTCATTCCCAAAACATCCCCTCCCCAAGATCCACCCCAAATCTCCAAGAACTTCCCAACTCGAATTTGTGATGAGTCTATGACTCTGTTGTTTATTGTAATGAGTCTATGACTCTGCTGTTGTGATCCGCCCTGAGCCCGTTTGGGGAGAAGAAGAGAGAGAAGAGACCGGATTTATACCCCGTCCTTCACTACCTGAAGGAGTCTCAGAGCGGCTGACAATCTCCTTTCCCTTCCCCTCCCCACAACAGACACCCTGTGAGGTAGGCGGGGCTGAGAGAGCTTTTTCGAGGACTGCTCTTGAGAGAACAGCTCGGACAGAACTACGGCTTGCCCAAGGTCACACCAGCAGGTGCAAGTGGAGGAATGGGGAATCAAACCCGGTTCTTCCAGATTAGAGTCTGCACTCGTAACCACTACACCAAATGGAATAAAAATCTGAAAAAATAAAATAAAATAAAATAAATAAATTTGCAATCCTAATAACGTAACAAACCCCTTTCACTCACAGTAAAGAAACAGGGCAGGGCAGGGATGTGGAAATAATAATGATTATCGTATGGCACTGTGTGTAGAACAGCCAGGACCTCCTAAGATTGTCTGGCAGCTAGACGTTCTAGCTCTTTAGTGTTATGCACCACTAGGTGGTGAGCTAGACTTGTTTTTTTCCAGGCAAGAGACGTTTCAGAGGTGGTTTTGCCATTGCCTGCCTCTGTGTCACGACCCTGGAATTCCTTGGAGGTCTCCCTCCCAAATACTAGCCAAGGCCGACCCTGCTTAGCTTCTGAAATCTGAGGGGATTGGGCTAGTCTGGGCTATCCAGATCAGGGCGCGGATGCAAAAATTTGTCCTACGGTGATTCCCCTGCATGTTTCCACATTAATAACCCCTGCCATGAGGTCTAGAAACTTGAAAAATGGAAGGCGGCGGTCTCAAGACTCCGCATTCTGCACTAGTGACAGGATTGTTTGCAATGTAATCCTACAGACACTTCCATCCCGCCTCCCCCCCTTCTCAAAACTGACACAGCTCTCGTGGATTACAACAGTCGGGAACAATGTTTCCTCGAATAAGCTGTGGGGTCTTGTGAGCAAAAATTCTGCTTTGTGAGCTACTGTCAGTAAAGGTGTGAGTGAGGGATTTGGCGACTGCATCAATTAGTATGCTCTGGAGCCATCCTTGCTGAGCCGAGACAAAAAAAGTGTGAGCTGGAGGCTAAAAAACTGTGAGCTAGCTCACACTAACCCAGCTTAGAGGGAACAGTGGTCGGGAATTGCGCTTGCTAATGGGTTTTCAACATTCCCACTCCCCAGTGCAAAGAAATCACCGTTCACACTGGATATGAGGTCCTTCTGCAGCGATTACTCGACGGGAGGAAGATGAGCAAAGACGTGGAGGACTTAATCAAGCAGAGGTAATAAAAGAAGGAAAGTCTGTGGAAGTGTGAAAACTTGTGCCGCCTGCCCCCAACCCATCGGTAGACCACCGTGTATTGAATCACATCGATTGGCAGATGAGTCAATGTTAAAGAGGTGAAGGGTGCCATTGAGTTGGAACCAACCCATGGCAAACCCATGAAGCTCCACCCCGTGGGGTTTTGAAGGCAAGAGATGAGCAGAGGGGGGTTAGCCGTTGCCTTCCTCTGCGTAGCACCACCCCTCTTCCTTGCTGGTCTCCCATCTCAGTGGTGGCGGAAAGCGCCGTCGAGTCGCAGCCGACTTATGGCGACCCCCGTAGGGCAGTGATGGTGAACCTTTTAGAGACCGAGTGCCCAAATAGCCAATCTGACCCTGCTTTGCTTATTAGATCTGACAAGATCAGACCAGCAAGGTCAGGGCAAGAGACGAACAGAGGTGGCTTGAGAAAAAACCACTCCTACATTAACTTAAGATGATCCAAACAAAGTAAGGAAAGCCATCCCCTGCTTAGCTTTCGAGATCTGACAAACGCTGTACGGCCAAATGAATCACCAAACAGTCAGAGGAGATAAAGCCTCTCGCCTTTGCTCCAGAGCTATTTTAAAAGATGTGAGCAAAGATTTCTCCCAATCGATGGAAATGATGTCTTTGTATCGGTGCTGGTATGATGAGAATTGGGAGGGGAGGGGAGGGGAGAGGACGGGCAGGAAAGGAAAGAGACGGGGTTGACTAACATGGTTCTTGATCCGCTTGGATATTTCTTTTATTTGTTTTTATTTTACTTCCTTTTGTATTTGGTTTATACCCCGCCCTCCCTGCCGAAGCATGCTCAGGGCGGCTTTCAAAAGACAAACATAAGAACAGTTACGACATAAATAAAACCATCTAAAAGCCGTCCAAAACAAGCCTCATCCTGAAATCTTCCACAGGCAGCTGCTGGTGTGACCTTGGGTCGGTTGCAAGTTCTCTCAGAGCTGTTCTCTCAAGAGCAGTTCTCGGGAGAGCTCTCTCAGCCCCACCTACCTCACAGGGTGTCTGTTGGGGTTGAGGGGAAGGGAAAGGAGATTGTAAGCCGCTTTGAGACACGTAGGCCTGCTGGGTGACCTTGGGCCAGTCATGCCCTCTTAGCCTAGCCTACCTCACAGTGTTGTTGTGCGAATAAAGAGAAGAAGAATGTAAGCTGATTTGGGTTGTCACTGGGGAGAAAGGCAGGGTATAAACTAGACAGCCAGTTTGGTGTTGTGGCTAGGGTCTGATTCCCCACTCCTCCACATGCAGCTGCTGGTGTGACATTGGGTCAGTCACAAGTTGTTTCGGAGCTGTTCTCTCACCAGCAGTCCTTGAAAGAGCTCTCTCAGCCCCACCTACCCTCACAGGGTGTCTGTTGTGGGAAGGGGAAGGGGAAGGGAAAGGAATTCTTTTGGGTGGTGAAGGGCGGGGTATAAACCCAATCTCCTCCTCCTCTTTTCCCCAAAAATATGTTTTAGACCAACCCCAAATGGCAAGAGACCTCCCGCATGACTGAGAAAGGCATGACTTTCAGCTTAAAATAATTCAAAGTGTTTTGTTCGCAGGGCGCAGGCGGAAGAACGGTACGGGAAGGAGCTGGTGCAGATAGCGCGGAAGGCGGGAGGCCAAACGGAAATCAAGTAAGCCATTTTGGATGTGACTGAAGCAGTCCCTTGATCCGATTCCTCGTTCTCTGAATGGGCCTGCACCAATGATATAAGTTCTGAGGACTCTGTCAGGCCAATTTTGCGTCTGTGAGGTAACCACTGCTCAAAGCGGTTTGTCTCCTGATCTGGTGGCCGAGTAGGTGTAGTGGTTAAGTGCGCGGACTCTAATCTGGGAGAACCGGGTTTGATTCCCCCCTCCTCCACTCACAGCTGCTGGATGACCTTGGGCAAGCCATAGTCCTGTCAGAGCTGTTCTCTCAAGGGCAGTTCTGGAAAGAGCTCTCAGCCCCACCTACCTCCCAGGGTGTCTGTTGTGGGGAGGGGAAGGGAAGGGAAAGGAGTTTGTAAGCCGCTCTGAGACTCTGAGTGAAGGGCGGGGTATACATCCAATCTCTTCCTCCTCCTCCTCCTCTTCTTCTTCTTCATCTTTATCTTCTTCTTCTTCTTCATCTCCTTCTTCTTCATGTTTGCTTGTAAATAGTTTTGTCAAGAGTGACTAATTCTCTGCTGTACCGTGTATGCAAAACCGAATTATTCCAAATGGCTTTTCTGTGCGGTTGATAAGGTAGCACTGTACAGAATGCTTCACAAAGTTATTTGGATAAATTATTAGGGACTGTGGTCTATCCTACCATGTATCACTTGCTGAAACTAGGAATCCTACTGTGGAGTGGTGCATTGTTGAATGTGTCGCGTCAACACTGAGACTTTACTTCGGTTCTGTTTTTTAAATTTCTGTCAAGAGCTCTCTCAGCCCCACCTAACCTCACAGGGTGTCTGTTGTGGGGAGGGGAAGGGAAAGGAGTTTCTAAGCCGCTCTGAGACTCCTTTGGGTAGTGAACGGCGGGGTATAAATCCAATCTCTCCTCCTCCTCCTCCTCCTCCTCCTCCTCCTTCT